TGTCAATGGCAATGCCAAATGAGGTAGCTGAGGCATGACCTTTAGCTTTTTCTCACCCCATAGGGAGGGTTTGCTATGTGGGGCAGCTGCTGTTCCCAGAGCCTGCATTCCTATTTCCCGGCCAGCCTCTGCACTGTGCCATCAGATGACCGAGAATTTGGCTCATAGAACCCTCAACAACATTGAGTGTTTTTCAAAGTTAGGTCAGCTCTAGGTGGAAGCAGAATTACCTCGAGCCTTGATTTTGAGCATCCAGTGGGGGCCTGGGGGAATCTGCCATTTTAGGGAGCCCCACAGGACATGTGATCCACACTCCGTTTTAGGAACTTCAGCTCTGGGCACCAACTCCTGATTGCTGGGAGTAGCTGAGTCTGTCTTTGGTTTCACAGACCCTGTTCACACACTCCCTGTCCACCTGAGAGTGAGCAGCATGCCTCCCTGCTGTGAACTATAATGTCACGTCACTAAGCCTGGTGCTGGGTCTCCAGCCTCCTTCTGCTTCCTCAGACTGCCCTGTATGTCCATGCTCTGTTGGGTTTCTGCCTGCTGGAAGCCCCGACACCCCAAAAGAAGCTGCAGAAGCAGCAGACAGCACATAATCAGCTCTCTCCACCGGCCCCACTCACAATACGGGATCTGCACTGGAGCCCTAGATCCTGGATTCTAGGCCCACCTCTCTACCCATGACGGGCAGTGGGGAAGCCTTTTAGGTCAATAATCTCTCAAGGCTGGTGGAGGCTCAAATCATTCCCCCCGCAGGGGCCTACTGGAAAACTTCCCCTTTGGTCTCTGAAGGTTTGCTGAAAATCAACTGAGAAAAGGCAGATTAACAGGAGAAAAGGCATGCAAATTTGTTAATGTGCATGGTGGAGAATTGCAGAGTGGTTACCCAACCATGCAATGGGGTGCAGTTGATTATATGCCCTTCTTAGGGGGAAAGGAGATGGGGATGTATGGATGATTTTAAGTGGGTAGTAAATGATTTTTAGGGGAATTCAATGGGCTTGAAGAACATGGAACGGCCTGGGACAAAGTCTGTTGGGCCCGCAGAGCAGACAATGCTTGGTGACAAAAGTCTGTCCAGGAGTGTTGACACTCTGCAGTCTTTCTTCCTGTGATATGAGTTCAGTTAGTGAAAACTCAGGGAAGGGACCAGAGGTAATTGTTTTCTTCTTTGGTGGGTCCAGACTTTGGGCAGAGAAGGGAACTTTAGAGAACAGTTTCATCTTGTGCTTTGGGAGAGACAGGACTGAGAGACAGGAGAGTGGGGGAAGGTCAGAGAGACCTTGAGGCTTCTTCAGCTTAGCATCTCCAAGCACTATATTTTGGGGTCTCGGTTTCTGAGCCCCAACACTCAGTTACTGTACTCGAATGCTTCTAGGGATAGGGAATTTACTATTACAGGGAAGCTCTTCTCTCAATGGGTCTGCTACCTGACCCTAGAACAGACAGCAGAGTCATGCCCGCTAAATAAGAACCTTGGGCCCACCTGCTCTTCTCCTCTGGACACGTTCTTTCTGGCACTTTCCAACGTCTTCTGTAAACATAGCTGTCACTGCTTTGGCTAGAATCCTTCAGTGGTTCCCATTCCTCTTGGCTCTCCCCCAGGCTGACCTCTGCAGCCTCACTTCCTCCACTCTGCCCCCTCCACTCCCCACTCCTGTTCCACTTTTTTTTTTTTTTTTGAGACAGAGTCTCACTCTGTCGCCCCAGGTAGAGTGCAGTGGCCTCATCATAGCTGACTGCAACCTCAAACTCCTGGGCTCAAGCGATCCTCCTGCCTCAGCCTCCAGAGTAGCCGGGACTATAGGTGTGCACTACCACACCTGGCTAATATGTTCTATTTTTGGTAGAGACCGGGTCTCGCTCTTGCTCAGGCTGGCCTCCAACTCCTGAACTCCAGGGATCCTCCCGCCCCGGCCTCCCAGAGTGCTAGGATTACAGGCGTGAGCCACCGCGCCCGGCCTGAACACATACTTTTCAATAAACTTTAAGACACATTATTTTTGCAACTCTCTTACCAGGCCAGGTTCTCTCTTGCCATGGCCCGCTCTCCTTTACTTAACTCTCACTCATTCTTCAGCTCTCCGCCATCACCCCCCTGACCCCAGCACTAGATCAGGTCCCTCGCTTATTCATGCTTGAAGCACTCCGGGTAGCTCTTTATCAATTCTTGTCAACGTTGAAATCTTCCATTTACTTGAGCAATTATTTCATTAATGTCTGCCTCCTCCACTAGCTGGTAGAGTTCATCAGAGCACGGTTTCAGTTTGCTCTCACTGCCTCTTCAGTACCTAGCAAAATGCTCGGCAGGTATTCATTGGATGGATGACTCGCTCCAGGAAGGCGGGCCCCAAGCTGAGTGGGGTGTCGGGACTCCTGGGGATGGATCAGAGATAGACTCGGGCAGTCCCCAGAAGTGAGGGCATCCGTGTTCAGCCCGGGGCCCCTCATGTTGCTCAGGATGAGGAGGTACCCGGGGAATCCCAGGGCAAGAAGGACACAGCATAATTCTGGCTGGCATCCAGCTGCCGACTGGGCGGTGGGCGCCCCGACTCTGTGCTTGGGGCCTTCAGTTTCCCCACTGGCTCCCCGGGCGGTCGCCCGCGAACCGCCCTTGCAGCCCAGGTAGACTCCCGCCAGGTGCCGCGGGCTGCAGAGGTCCGAGGGGCCCAGAGCGGCGGGCGGAGCCGCCGCAGGCCGCCTGGCCGGGCGAGGGCGCTCCAGGCAGGTCCTCCGGAGCCGGCGCGCGCCGCCGCGGCCCCTCTAGCCGGCGGGCGGTGGCGCAGTGCGCGCCGGGAAGGCGGCGGGCGGTCCGGCCCTTCGAGGCGGCGGGCGCTATGGTGGGTGGCGAGGCGGCTGCCGCGGTTGAGGAGCTGGTCTCGGGGGTGCGGCAGGCGGCCGACTTCGCGGAGCAGTTCCGCTCCTACTCGGAGACCGAGAAGCAATGGAAGGCCCGCATGGAGTTCATCCTGCGCCACCTGCCCGACTACCGCGACCCGCCAGACGGCGGCGGCCGCCTGGACCAGCTGCTGTCCCTCTCCATGGTCTGGGCCAACCACCTCTTCCTGGGCTGCAGGTGCGGACCCCTGCCGGCCGGCTGACCCCGTCCCCTGCCTTCTGACCCGCAGCCCTCCCCCAGGGCTCACCCCTGACCCGAACCCCTGACCTAGACAGTGCCCCCAACCTCCAGGCGCATTGGCTGGTGCGGTGTCGATTCCCACCTTGGCAGCCCCTTGCAAAGATATTTATTTTCTTTGAGCCTCAGTTTCCTCATTTGGTAAATGGGTGGTTGTGATGACTACAGTAATTAAAGGGTGAAGAGCTAAATACACGGTGGCTCCAAAGTTGCTATTGTTATTTGTATTATTACTGTTATTAGCTGAAACCATCACCTTTGCAGAGTGCCTTTGAAGTCCCTTAGCTCCTTTCACCTACATGGCAAACGTGCAGAGACAAAAACTGAGATAATTTAACAGATGAAAAAGCTGAGGGAAGGGGAGGGATATATCTGGGACCATGCAGCTTTGGGCAGGATTGGTGGATTTTCCCACATACAGCAAGACGTAATCTGTGTCCTGTGGCTTTTTCTCCCCATCCCCCATCCTCCTCGGTCCTGAGAGCTTCATCTCTCTGCCTTCCCTCCTGTGAAAACAACGGATGCCTTTCTGTCACCGCCCGAAAGCCCACTGCACCAAGAGGGCAAGGGGCGGCTTTTGAAGTGCCTAATAAGGCACCCTCTTTTACCCCACCACGAAGAAGGTGGCAAATCTTGAGACTCCCTATTAGCTCAATTCCCGTGACATTGTGTTAGGAGAATAGGATGACTGGGTTTGCTCCTGATTCCTTTACCCATTATGGCTGCCTGACTCTGATCACATGGCTCCTCCAGGCCTAAGCCACCTGGTTTTGCTTCAGATGTTGGAGTTTAGGATGTAGGGAAGCAGCCAGATGCACCCATCCCTTTTCCCTGCCTTCTAGGTGCTCCTGGGAAATCCTGATTAAACAGGATCCATGGTTAGGCAGATGTCAGAGAATTGGGCAAATGAACAAATAATGTTTTTTTTCATTAGACCAACATTCTACATGTTTAAAAAATAATAAAAAATATTTTTGGCCCTTATCCCATATCTGAGAATATGTACTGCCAGAGGTACAGTGCCTCTGTTTTTGTAAATCTTGAAACATCTGCTCTGTTGGCATTCCTAAAACACACTTTTGTATCCACAAGCAGGAAGAACTGTTTCCTAACCTTGTGCTGAACATGTGTGGGTTTCCCTTGCAGTATCAGATCAGTCCTGTGAGAGTTTGCAGTCCAGCAACCTGCAATTTCTTAATAATCCACAGTGGCAATTCTTCCAAGGTTTTTATCTCACTACTTTTTATTGTGCAGTTACAATAAAGACCTTTTAGACAAGGTGATGGAAATGGCTGATGGGATTGAAGTGGAAGACCTGCCACAGTTTACTGCCAGAAGTGAATTAATGAAAAAGGTAAACAGGATATCCCAGTGCATGTGATGAAATGGTATAGAGTTAATGGTCCCTGCTTTGATGACACTATTAGAGTATACTGTTTTTTGAATGCTTTTTTTTACCCCAAAGATCTAAAGCCCTTTCATTCTTATTTCCCCATAATTGGTACAAACCATATCATAACTAGACAACTCAGTGTGATAAATTATGCATTGTTAGTGGACAACACATAAACTTGACCTCTTCAAGTTGCCTAGGAACATTGTTTTGAGTTTTTTGCTTGATTGTTAAGGAAATACTGACAGAGTGCTAAAGTTTCCCACTTGTTAAAAACTCTTGTTTGTAACAGAGTAACTCATCCTTACCCCAGCAGGTGAAGACCAGACTTACTTGACCTCTCTTGACTTTCTGATAGTAGTTTGGCTGGAGTAATGTCCAGATAGCATAGCCGTTCTCTGTTCTTCAGGACTTAGTCTAGTCTCAGGCTATGGACTCTTTACACAGTGAGCTCTTGCTTTGAGTCTTGAATCCGGACCCTGGAGGTGGGCTGTGGAGAGTGTGGCAGAAGGAACCTCAGAGGGTGGGGCTGGGCATGCCAGCTGCTTTTCAGAATCGCCCCCCAGACATGCTTTTTTCACATTTGTCCCAGTCTCTTCAGGCAGAATTAATTGCTCCCTTATCTCCCAAAGTTCCTTTCACACTTTACTCAAGCTTGTTTTGGAGCAGTTGTGACCTCGAGGGAAGAGATGGTGCCTAAAGTTTTAGTCCTTATAACTCCATAAGCTAGTATAGTCATAGAGAAGGTACTCAGAAGACACTCAAAAATGGACCAAAGCAATAAGAGTATAAAGCTGGGGACCACTTTTTAGTTCTACCCTGAGAAACACAGGCAAGCCCTTGTTCCACCTCAGTTGGGTCTCGTTTTGGGAGGCAAGGCACATAAGGAGGTCCCCTTCTGTGTGTGTATCAAGGAACTAATCAAATCCTCAGCTGCTCGGAAAATATTTGTCCCAAACAGCACATCCCACTTGATTTCAGATGGTTTGTTTTTCTTAAAAAAGTATTCTTTTAGTTTTTAACGTGAACTGCAGTCAAGACCTTCGGGTTGGTGTTCCAGACACTATTTTGTTTTTTAAATAAGCTGTTAACAGGGAACTATTTTTAGCCAGGTAGCAAAGTGAACTGGGAGTTCGTGGCTTTTTGGATCCTCCTATTGTAATACTTTTAAAAATCCCTGGTTGACAAACCTTAAAAAAATATCCCTGGGTAGCCCTTGGGTGTCCCAGAGTGGTGAGGTTCCTGGAGCCCAGCCAGGAAGGGGCTAGATAGTGGCGGGCTGCCAGAGTGTACCCCGTGGGGCAGGGACAGGCAGGAAATGGGGCAATCCTTCATTTCCTAACTGCTTGTGGCATATTCTTTCCTTCTTTTTGTGCCTCAGTAGTTATCTGCCCTTCCTCAGATCTTGCTGTGCTGTTCCTCAGATCTTGCTGGGCTGTTAGACATCAGAACACTTCATGACATTTGGGCTATAAACCCTAGGAGGAGACTAAGGAGGTTTGACGTATCCCAAACATTATCCGTAGACCAGTATGAAGACGTGTGTGTGTGTTGGTAAGGGTCTGTATAAACTGCTAAATATAGTAAGGGGTCTTGTACTCAAAACCACAGAGGCCCTGTCCCGGAATGTTCATTCTTGACACTATCATTGCGTAGTGTGAGCCTCCAGGGAGGAATCCTCAGGCATGAAATTAGCATCCTTGAAACCAGCACTAATCATAAGTAGTTAGCTACCGTAAGAAGCCTGTACAGAGGTCATAATCAATAGCATTTTTAGATTTTGTGTGTTGCAACTTCCGTCAAATAAAACTTACGTTTTCTTCGTAACCAAGTTTAATTTTAGACTGTTGATACCACTGAACATGAAATTCAGCTGATCCTGAAAAATGAGATACTTCGACGGTGCATGGAGTTTTGCCAGTTGTTAAGACTTTTCTAGATAAGCCCAGCCTGAGATTGAGTCATCAGATCTCAGTGCCATGGCAGACTGTGTGGTATTGAAGGCCACCCTGAGAAACTGCTGCTAAGTGAGCTATGGGGACTTTGTACCAGTAGTTTCGTCTCTTGCCTGCATTTTTTGCATGTGACAGAGGAGGCTGGCAAACATGAGGCAACATTGCCAGTCCCAGAGACAAGAAACCTCTGATGTCAAACCGTGCGTCTGAAAAATGTCTCTTGTTATTCTGTCCAGAATTGATCCTTAGCTCTAAAATTAGTTTGGTTGGACTTTAAACCTGCTACCACCAAGTGGAAATGAATCGCCTGGCATTGTTGGTATCTCAAGACCAGACAGTGATGAAGGCTTGGAGACAGACATAAGCTCTTTAAAGTAGGATTTGTTAAATACTTTATGGCTATTCTGCAGCTTTGAAGCAAGTGTGTCTCTGTGTCTGTCCAACTCTTTTTTTTTTTTTAGTCTGAGAAAAGAAATGAGCCTTGGTTTCTGACAGGTGGAATTTGTTAGACAGTTGCAGTGTATGATTTTTTTTCTTTTGAAAGAGGGGTATTCAAACAGAAATGTATTGAACAAACTATCTTGATTACCTAACCGCCATCCTAGGCACCTGCCAGCAGCCTTTGTGGTTGCCCAGCTTAACCTTTAATGAGTGATAATTAACAAACAGCAGCAGCTGACTCAGGAAGGGTGTCATTGCTATGGCTGTCAGAGCTAATATTTCCAAGGTAACGTCTTGATCAAGGAGAAAGAGGAGTGATTGACTAGGAAGCTGTTATTGACTCGAAGAAAGAAGCTGTCAACCTAATTACTTGGTCCATTTTTCCTGAGAACATTTTTATCCCAAGAGGGAAAAATGTCAGTGTGAAAAGTGACTATGAAATGTGAAAGAAAAGTTAGAAAAACAAGCGTGCCTGCATTTCATTCTTTCTGTGCATTATGCTCAGTCTTGGCAAGCTCTGAGGTAATGGAGCCGCCGCCTGTTTGGTGGAGGAAGCCGCGATTCTAAGGCGGCCACTGTTGGTGAGTATTTAAAAAAAATTCAGTTTGTCAGATTAGTTAATCAGAAGAGGTCTTGTATCCCAAGGTAAATGCTCAGTGGAGCTACTTGTCTTTTACTCTCTATCCACTCTGAAACAGAAGCCGGAAAAGCTGCGTCCGACCCTATAGACCCGTTTTGTCTGGTGCTCAGAACGCGTGGATGGATCACCCATCAGCACCTGTGGAAAAGATGACGCGTAGCAGCCACGACTGTGCCGCCGCAGCCTTGGCCTGTCCTATCAGAACCTTGACTGATGGTTTAGAGGATTTTTTTACTCTTTGGACATAAGATGGTTTCTTTAGGTGATACTGCATTCTCCTAAATGGAGAAAGACTTCTTCTTACCTTTTGCTTTTGCTGAGGAATTTTGTTTTTTCATCTCAAAAAGACTGACGGGCTTAAATAGGAAAGAGGTCATACCTTGAAATCTCTAATTACTGAAAAGACTCTCAGGTTGATTCACGCACACTGCTAAATGTTAAGGAAATTCATTCAAATACAAGGTGACAGCCAGAGTGATTTCTTCACACCCTTAAAAGTTGTCTAAAGCCAAGTTTAAATTTACCAAAGGTGCCAGAGAGTACCCAGAAAGAATGTATCTGCTTCATTTTACCACTATTTGAAGACATGCTTTTACAGTTTCTAATAGTGTGAAAATCCAGAAATATGTAACCTTCGCATCTCCTAAATATCCTGACTCAATGTGAAATGTTGTGAATTACTACCTGAATCTGACTGGTTTTAATTTAGAACAATAAGTGTTTGTGTGATTCTGCTTTTAGAACCGTTCACGGCAGAGCATGCCAGGAAAAGTTGTATTTTAAGTATTTCCATTATCACTTTAAATTGTGAGCATTTATAGATCGCAAGTGACGAGACAAGAAAATTAGGTTCTGGCTTCCAAATGGATGGTGTGGTCAATGTTTGCTGAATTTTTTGTGCGTAGTGAAATATTAATAATTTCCGAGCATACTTACCGTTGGGGTAGTACGTAAATATTACATCACTGCTGTATCTTAATTTATGAAGATGAACTTGCTTCACTGGATTACCTGGTTACATAACCTTTTCTTTTTTTTCCCCAGCATCAAAGCTAAGGCAGAAGATTTATCACATTTTCATCATCAACTGCAGGCTTAGAAAGGAGGCTGGGATGAATGTGACACAGAGCACGGTATCTCTCTCAAGACGCCTGGTGTTACCAACAGAAAGGCAGGTGGAATGAGGAGGAATCTGTCTAGACAGGCTTTTTAAAAGTTACCATTCTTCCAGTAGCTATCACTGTAAAAGTATGCATGCGTATTTATGTATTTATAAATCATGCTGAGTTCATCGACATTGTAAAAGCCCTCTTTCCTGTTTTCAGTTGTTAAATGTCATACTTTTTGTTTAAAATGACCTTTTTCGTTGATGTAATAGTGGCAGGTAATGAATTTTATAGTTTGGGTTTTTCAGCAATTTACCTTTAAGTGTGATTCTGTTTTATGGGCCCCCCCCACCACCAAGGCAAACTAGATCCTTATTTCCACCTGAAATTTACGCCATACGTATATCCCACTGCCACGCATACTCATCTTTTTTTAAGAAATGCGAATCAAATCATAGACGTGAGGTACCCACCAGCACACGGGAGGAGGCAGAGGCAGCCTTACAAAACAGCTTTATTTTAAAATTCATTGATACAAGATTCCAAGGCTTTGTCCAGCCAGCCCGCTGATTCGTAGACTTAGATCTCCTATGCTGGCTTTTTCTGGAAGGAGCCTGCGGCTTGGGTCTTCTAGACTTGAAGAACTGCTTTGCACATGGCCTCCTAAAAAATACTGGTTTGTTCTGAAATTCTGGTATTAATGTTCTCTCTTAACTAATGTGTCTGTTCTATACCCCCTTCTCTGTTCCTCTTTCTTACTTAGTCCCCACCATTAAGTAGACAGCTCTAGGCATAAATGCTGGGGAGGGGCTTCATTTGGGGGCAGTAGTTTAATGGTCTGTCAGAGCAGGATTCACTCGCCAGTGGGAGGCACTGTGCTTGGTACTGGCCATAGTGGCAGTTAAGACGGTGGACCCTGCCCTAATCTGCCGGTGAATATAGGTAATGGAACGACCAGACACGCTGAAAACAGAGCTGGGGAAGCGTGGAGTCTGGGAGCAGAGAAGTGGGACAAGACTCTTGCCTGTGGCTTGAGACGAAGGCCAGGCAGCACACCTTGGGTGGGTCACGCCTCTGTAGGGCTTCTAGCTCCAGTGTCCCTAGGTGTCTCTAGGATGGACTGAGTGAAGAAGTCGAGATCTGTGATCTGTAACCTTGGACAAGCCACTTCTCTCCACTCATCCCTTACCTGGAAAATGGAGATCATAGAAATACCTACCACAGAGAGCTGGGGGCAAGGATTAAGATGGCAAATGTTATGCTCAGTGAGCCTTAGCTGCTTCTATTCCTCAAATGTGGCCTAGCTTTTTCCCCTTCTGACAAATATGTAAGGCTTAAAAAAATGAAATTACAAAATGGGAAAAAGTCAGTGTGACTATTCACTTTTAAATGCATCTTCTTGGCTGGGCACAGTGGTTCATGCCTGTAACCCTAGCCTTTGGAGGCCCAGGCAGGAGGATCACTTGAGGCCAGCAGTTTGAGACCATGCTGAGCAATGCAGGGAGACCTTGTCTTTATAAAAAATAAAAAAACCAGCCAGGCATGGTGACGTAAGCTTAAGTCCCAGCTACCCAGGAGGCTGAGGCAGGAAGATCACTTGAGTCCAGGAGTTTGATGTTGCAGTAAGCTAGGATGATGATACTTCATTATACTCACAGAGTGAGACACTGTCTCAAATAAATGAATAAATAAATAAAATTCATTTTCCATAGGTTTCTCAATTATCGATTCTCTTTTCTTTGTATGATACAATGCTTCAATAAAATAATAGCCTTTTGGCTGGGCGCGGTGGCTCACGCCTGTAATCCTAGCACTCTGGGAGGCTGAGGCGGGCGGATTGTTTGAGCTCAGGAGTTCCAGACCAGCCTGAGCAAGAGCGAGACCCCCATCTCTACCAAAAATAGAAAGAAATTAATTGGACAGCTAAAAATATATAGAAAAAACTAGCCGGGCATGGTGGCGCATGCCTGTAGTCCCAGCTACTTGGGAGGCTGAGGCAGGAGGATCACTTGAGCCCAGGGGTTTGAGGTTGCTGTGAGCTAGGCTGACGCCACGGCACTCTAGCCAGGGCAACAGAGCGAGACTCTTGTCTCAAAAAAAAAAAAAAAAAAATAATAATATATCCATTGCATAAAGCAAGTTTAAATTGTGTAATGATTTTTCCCCAATCTCTTTCAGTTTATTTTTCAAGACTTCTCTAGTTAATCAAAATCAAGTTTTCTGGTTCAATTTTCTTTTCCTTTTTCTTGTTCAGACGAGGTCTTTGTCACTCAGGCTGGAGTGTGGTGGCATAATCATAGCTCACTGCAGCCTCAAACTCCTGGGCTCAAGCAATCCTCCTGCCTTAGCCTCCTGGGTAGCTGGGACTATAAGCACATGCTACCATGACTGGCTAATTTTTAAAATTTATTGTAGAAATGGGGTCTTGCTATGTTGCCCAGGCTGGGCTCAAATTCCTGGCCTCAAATGATCCTCCCACCTTGGCCTCCCAAAGTGCTGACATTATAGGTGTGAGCTACCATGCCCAGCCTTCAGTTTTCTAATGGATTTTCTCTCATTGTTTCCTCAAACTGCCTGCTTTTCTTCTTATCTTACTTTTACAACCTCTGTGGCTATCTCAAGTATAAAATTAACCAGTATTTTAGAATTTCATCCTTTATGTATTTCTGGAATAGAAAGTGGCAAAGAGATCCAAATTTTTGCATTGCAACACTCCTTGTGGTATAGGTAAAATAGCCCCCTATTGGCCTTGAAGCAGAAGCTCACACCACCATAGAAACTGCGAGTTTCTCAACTTCATATCTACCGTACTGCCCAAGACATGGGTGAGATCATAGGAAGGGACAGATAAGGACCAGAAGATCTTTAAAGACGTAAGTCTTAGGCCAGGCATGGTGGCTCATGCCTGTAATCCTGGCACTCAGGGAGGCCGAGGAGGGAGGATCGCTTGAGGTCAGGAGTTCGAGACCAGCCTGAGCAAGAGGGAGACCCTGTCTCTATCAAAACTAGAAAAAATTAGCTGGGTGTGGTGGCGCATGCCTTTAGTCCCAGCTACTGGGGAGGCTGAAGCAGGAGGATCATTTGAGCCCAGGAGTTTGAGGTTGCGGTGAGCTATGAAGATGCCACTGCATTCTAGCCTGGGTGGCAGAGTGAGACTGTCTCAAAACAAAACACCAAAAACAAAAAAAACAGTGAAGAGGTCAACTTTGAGCTGTGTGGGCCCAATGACTAAAGCTCTTGCTTTGCTGAGAAAGTGGGCACCAACTCGTCTCCTTACGGTGGCATTTTCCTTTTCCTTGGACATTTCCTCATAGTAAGCATGTTAAATTGTCCCTAATAAGCATGAACTAGTAGATATTTCCTTCTTATTGAGTTACTTTATCTCAGTGTAGGCATCTGCAAAGTGGGGATGATTCCTTCTTCAGTTTTTATTGGAGGATTCAGTGGAAAAACTCACGTGTGAGGGTACCTGGCACCTCGTGGGCTCTCACTGCTTCATTCCTGCCCCTAGTTTCCCTTGAGGTCAAGCTGGGAAGACATGAAAACTTTTCAACTAACTTAGATTTACACAAGAGAAAAATGAGTACCTACAATCACCCTACTCAACCAGGCTCCATCCCAGGGCTGCCAGAGAGTAAACTTTTTTCTGTTCAAGTTGTGCAGGGCCTAACATGCAACCTGGCACCCGTTAGGTCCCCAGTAAACGTGGCTGACTGCTGCATGGGGCAGGCACCGAACAACGCAGCATCCACCGAATGCCAGGCTGCTCTGGAGAGGGGGAAGCAAAGCCTCCAGGTGAAAATGGCTACTAGCGGCAAACCCTGGCCGGAGCTCACGTGGCCACTGCAGCCCTCTCTTCGACACTGGGTGCCCTGGAACCCCTGTACTGCATTTGGGAGGTGTGGGGCTTGTGCAGCCTGGGGGCGTGTTCTTTTCACCGTGAGCAGGGCCTTTGCTGCAGCACTGGCTGTGTGGCAGGGGGCTGGTACCAGGGTTTGGTCCCGTACACCGACTAGATTCCTCATCACGGTGGCTGTGAATTTCGGGCCCCAGCTCACTGCAGCACCCATCTCCCCTCCGACCGGCTGTTTTCATTGTCGCCGCTTGTCAAACTGTGACTCAAGTTTCCTTCTACCTTTAGGTACTCACCAAGTTATCACTTATGACTATTTTCTACTTTTATAACAAAAACCAGAACTATTTGAAAAGTATCCCCAAAGGAGTCAGAGCCTGGACCCCAGAGGTCCTCAGTTATTCTACCGGCCTCCTGCCAGGGCCTGTGCATGCGTCTGGCTGTCTGGAAAGCGGTTCCCAGTCTTTGGATTTAACTTCCAATGTGTGCTGCTTAAATTGTTGCTCTTACAGCCTGATTCCTGATTTGGATTTGAGAGGAAGTCGTGGTGATTGTGGCCTGTTCTCAAACTGCCCTGTGCAAAAGACGACCCAGCCCTGTCAAAGAAGCAAGGTAGCCAGGTGCAGTGGCAGTGTACGATTATAGTCCCAGCTACTTGAGAGGCTGAACGGGAGGATTTCTTGAGCCCAAGGGTTTGAGTCCAGCCTGGGCAACATAGCAAGACCCCATCATAAATAATAAACAAATATATAAATAAATAAATAAGCAAGCAAACAAGCTCGTGTAAGCACTAACAAAAACCAGGAAGAGGAACTTCCTCCCAAACTCACCACTGCCAGGCCCCAGTAGTAGTATTGCTGGCTGGCAGAAGACCCCTTGTCCTCACCCCTTGAGAGTGATTGTCCTCACTCTAAAAGCAACCTTCCAGCTGATGTTCCAGGGAGTCTCCACCTGAAACCACAGCCTTACGTGCCCATGCAGGGACAGCCCAGTGCCACACAGCGAGGTTACTAATTTAGCTTTTCTTTGGAGGTGCTATTTCAAGCCTGTAGCCCAAGTTTATGACTACAGGCTGAAGTCTCTGGATTCCGCCCTATTCTCTGCCCAGTAAGGCCATCAGGCAAAGCAAAAGCATCTTTTTCTGTAAGAAGGAGAAAATATCTCTCAGATTTGGAATGAGGGATTAGCTAAGTAGCTTCCCGTTCCTTGTCTCCTTTGTTCTAGCACCAATGCAAAAACAAAATTTCCAACTCAATTCTATAAAATGACACTATATAGGGGCCAGCCAAAGAGCTGCAAGCTTCCCTTAGACATGCACTTGTTCAGGAGTGCTGCTGGTCCAGTTCAG